GCCAACCTAAACATACTCATTCAATGTGGTGAGTTTCTTTCCTCCCCAGAGAGCTTAATGAACCAGTTTTACTGGAAAGTGAGTACAAAATGTACTTCTGATCCACCTCGTTAAATTGCACTTTGCTTTGTCTTAGTTTATATTCTATTATATGCTGAAACTCCTTTCTTTCTTTCTCTCTCCTTCTCATTTCCCCCCTCTATTATAAAATAAATGTATATTTAAGAAATATGGAAATAATGATGATAATAAGATGATTATAATAATTATAGAAATACTAATACAGTAATAATAGTAGCAACAATGATAATCATTGTTTCTGAGTACAGACTCTATGCCAGGCTCTGTTCTTGCCTCATCTCTTTTACTCTCTCTCGCTCTCTGGAGGGTAATTAATATATCTAATCTCATCTTCAAAACAACTGTATGAGGCAGTTGCTATCATCTTGATTTAAAAGAAATTCATTTCAGGTATAATTTTCTATCTTATTGGTGTTTTGTATACAGATAAGATTCAAAATAAAATATTTTTAGGAAACTATTTGCATTCAATTTTCTTATTTATCTCTTTTCAAAGCACTTGGAAATAGTTTATATTGCTATTTCCTTCTATATTTGAGCCAACAGCACACCAATGCCTAGACAAGGTGATATGTATTATATATAAATACATGGTACCATTTGGTATCGATTATATTAAATAAAAAATGATTTTATTCCATTTATATTTAGGTCAATTTAGTGTTTGACTTTGACCTCTTACATGAAATTCCATTGTAGCTGAGTGAATAACCAGTAACAGCAACAATTTTTTTTTAAATCAGTTGGTCACCAACCCAGTAAGTCTGATATTTGAAATTTTTATAATAGAGCTATAATTATTATATCAGGTAGGTCATTCATATCACAAGTTTATGTAAAGTTCAAAAAATAAATATGGTATTCTCACATGGTATAAAATATAAGCATGCAATCAGACTTAATTTTCCCTAGTGGTTCTGTTTCAAATACTTTTCAATATAAATAATTTTCAGACAGAAAGGATTTAGTGATTTTTTTTTTGTTTTGTGCCCGTCTTGCAGTCAAATTTTAATGTAAGAAATAATCTAGGAGCAAATCAATAACTGCTTAACATATGAGTGTGTAGTCACATGAATGTTAATGAACAATTGACCCGTAGATAAATCAAAATTTAAAGAAACATGCTGTATGCTTTATCTATATAATGAAAGACCTTGTAGATAAGTGAAAAAGTAATTTTTAGTTGAACTGAGTCTAAGTTAATGATCATGCAGTATTTTTTTTCTTTTTTTATTATTATTTCACCATATTATGGGGGTACAGATGTTTAGATCACTGTGTTGCTCTTGCCCCCTGCCCCGAGTCAGAGCTTCAAGTGTGTCCATCCCCCAGACGGTGCGCATCGCACTCATTATGTATGTATATACCCATCCCCTCCTCCTCCACCCATCTGCCCGATGCCCAGTGAATGTTATTCCTATATGTGCACTTAGCTGTTGGTCAGTGAAACCAGTTTGCTGGTGAGTACATGTGGTGCTTATTTTGCCATTCTTGGGATACTTCACTTAGTAGAATGGGTATGTTTTAAGAACCTTCCTAAACATGAAATGATCAAATGGTTTGAGTGTAGTGTAGTCAGGGAGCGAAGAGTACAACAGGAGACTGGAAGTGGCTGTGCCCACAGCCAGTAAATGGTTTCACAGCGGTTGTGAATTCAATGAAACGTGTGCACAGTAACCGGTTAGGATCAGCTTGATTCACTAATGGGGATTACATATGTTAAGTCTGAGGTAGTTTCTCAGAAAAAATTATGCAATTTGTCTATTTATACAAACTAGTTGGATTAATTGGCTAAATAATTTAGGGAAGCCTAAATTATTGTTCCTAAATGAAGACATTTTTAGATATGGTAAGGAATCTCACAATACCCCCTGCCTACCCTGCAAACATCTGATCACATAGTTACAACTTGAAAGAAATATGATGTGTCTGAAAAAAATAATTATAATCTATTCCTTTCTTTGCATTAAACTTTCTTGTATGAAGGGATCTACATGATTAATACTGGTGTCATTCTGTATTTCCTTCTCTATAAACACAATCTGTGTTTTGTCCAATAAAAGTGGGTATTTTAAACTCACGTGTTTATGTGGAGAATAATGCACGCGGTTAAATTTTGCACTGGATTTATTGATTGCTTCTTCCAAATGAGAAAACTTTACATATACAAACACATAGACAGATGTTTTGAAAATATAATAAGAATTTCCTAAAAACCACAGATCCAGTGACCTGTTGAAAATGTAAGGCATAAAACCATGTGGATGGCATATTCTCTGATTAGCTGCCAAACTTTTAGAAGAGAGATGGGAGTAAAGTGTATGTTACATTTTCCTCCAACATTTAGCATTATTAACAAGCTATATTTGGAGCTAGGTGGGTGAAAATGGGCTTTACCTTGGGAAAGAGTTGCATATATGTGGAAGAGGTTATATATGACATGTGACATGTTTTGTTCACCTTTAAACATAAAATTAAGATGTTCATTACTTAAACATATGTCTTTGCATTCAAGTGGAGATTTCATTCAAAATCCAAGTGTTCCTGGATGGCATAGAAAATACCCTTTCATTAATTATCCCTGCATCACAGGAGTGTATTTCAGATACCTGATTGATGAGTTAGGCAAAAAGTCATCGAAAAGGTTGTAGAAATTTCAGGTGTCTCAGGGAAGTGGACAGAAGGTGTTAGAAGTAGCATGATGATGGAGATAAGAAATAAATTAGGGATTGCTTCCAATACCTGAAGAGAAAATACAGATATTACTAGACAATATGAACTCTATAACCATGTAAAGGCAAGTAAGAAATGCAGAGAAGGAAGAATTGATGCACAGTTGAAAATATTTGTACATCAGAGGTCATGAAAATAAGAGAATCATTCTTGTAACAAGCAACTGAGATGTACAGTGGGCCAGGGAGTCTGCTAAGAATTGGGGATTCAGTAGTAAATGGATATGGGATGACTGTAATAGGTAAATTATTAATTAAAAAAGCAAAAAACACAAGAATGATAGGATTCTAGAGAGTGGGGAAATGCTAACACCTTTGGATACAGATATACTGAATTTGAGTTGTCAGTAAATATTCATTGATTTTGGACATTTATTTATGAATAGCTTGTGGGAAGCATTACTTTAACCTGAATCTTTGTCGCTCATCGAATGTTATGGAGATGTGGGGTCAAAACAGTGAAGAATAATTACATAAAAATCTACAAATCTCATTTAGGAGCTGATCATTTAAAATTCTTGAAATATTAGAGGGAATTAAAATAGGGATAAGTGATTTGTTTATATTATAATAAAGAATCTCAACTTTCACAAAAATAAAATACATAAAAATAAATAATTTATATGTCATCAGTGACATGACTAGTACATTTATTCTATAAAAGTGAAAATCTAAGCTCTGTTTGTTTTTGCTTTTTTTTTGTATAAATTCAGAGGGTACAAGTGCTGTTTTGTTACCTGGATATATTGCATTGCAGTGAAGTCTGGACTTTTAGTGTGCCCATCACCTGAATAATGTACATCATCCCCATTAAGTAATTCCTCATCTTTCACCCCTCAGAGCCCCCCTCCCTTCAGAGTAGCCATTGTCTATTATTCCGATCCCCACGTCCACGTGTTTACATTATTTAGCTCCCGCTGATAAGTGAGAACGTTCGGTATTTGACTTTCTGTTTGTGAGTTATTTCACTTAACATAATGGCCTCCAGTTCCACTCACGTTGCTGCAAAAGACATGATTTTTGGGCTCATTTTATTCAAACTTATGAATAGGTTTTCATAAGATGGAAAATAATTTTTGTGTTTGTTGTTTGTTTTTGGTAATCATATCATTTATTGAAAGACAGAAATTTGATTGAAGTATCCATAAATTTTACCATTTATATTTTAATATGTGCAGGCATGTTGTATTCATTTAGTTATTTACCTTGAGGGAAATATACATACAGAAGATACACAAATAACTATAATGTAAACATTTAAGTAATCACTATCCAAATATAAACTATAATATTAACACCTACAATTCGACACATATAAACTAATAAATTATGATTCAATTTCTACAAGTTGGGAAAAAAAGAAAAGTATAATATATTCTGAAGGATGGATTGCAGATGTTGACTAAATATTTTATTTTTTATGTTTAAAATGTAGATGATGTTTCAAATTATAAACATCGTTTTTTATCATAATATTTTATTACTTATTATTTTGGAAAGTCTTTATACATTTCATTTTCTATAAGTTTAATCTAATTGAACAGGGCACTGGAGAGAAAATTAAGTTCCACACTCTGTTGATTTCATGCATGTGTTCAACAAACATTACTGAGCATCTGCTGTGCACTGGCACTCTCCTAGGCCATTTGGCTTATACCTGTGAACAGAACAAAGATCTCCCAGTGTGACGCTAAAATTCTGGTGGAGAGTGACAATAAACAATAAATATAACTCCTATGTTTATTATTTAACATCCTAGAAGGTCCAAAGTGGTATGCAAATAAATAAAAATGAAAGAGAGTAAGAGGACCAGGAAAGTTCAAGCGGGAGCAGTAAGATTTTTTGCAGCATGTGCAGGAATAGGCACACCCTTGAGAAGGTGATGTTTGCGAACAGACTGGACGTCAGTAAAGTACGTGGAAGTCATTAAGATTGGGAAACTCGACATGGAGCCAAGGGCCCCTCGATATGCTGAGTATCATTTGTTGATTAGAACAAATAAATGCCCATCTTGTAAAGACACACCCACTCCGAAAAGAGGCTGAGTCTTTCAATGTCAATTACAAAATATGCATCACTAACTCTCATTTTATTATCCAGATACATGTAAATGAAATTCATACTTAGACTAGTTTTTCTTCTTTTTCTATTTATTAATTCTTTTTAGGTAAAAAAGGAGAATTCATGATGGGACATAAGAATCAAACTTTCAGCAGTGATTTCATTCTTTTGGGATTGTTCTCGTCTTCCCAAACAAGTCTGGTGTCCTTCTTGTTTATATTTATCATTTTTGTTGTGACCGTAGCAGAAAACACACTCATGATCCTCCTCATCCGCAGCGACTCTCGACTCCATACTCCAATGTATTTCCTGCTCAGCCATCTCTCTGCTATGGATATCCTACATATTTCCAACATTGTTCCCAAAATGCTTGCCAACTTTCTGTCAGGCAGCAGAACTGTTTCATTTGCAGGTTGTGGATTCCAGGTATTTCTGTCCCTCACCCTCCTGGGTGGCGAGTGCCTTCTTCTGGCTGCGATGTCCTGTGACCGCTATGTGGCCATCTGTCACCCCCTGTGCTATGCGGTCCTCATGGACGACTGTGCCAGCGTTCTCATGGCCGGAGGGTGCTGGCTTGTTGGGACCCTCAACTCCATAGTTCACACAGCTTACGTGCTCCACTTTCCCTTCTGTGGCTCTAGGGCCATTGATCACTTTTTCTGTGAAGTCCCTGCCATGCTGAAGTTGTCCTGTGTAGACACCTGGCGCTATGAACAAGGAGTTTACCTAAGTGGCATCATTTTCCTACTGATCCCTTTCTCCGTGATCTCTGCTTCTTATGTCCAGATCCTCCTTACTGTCCTTCAAATGAAATCATCAGAGGCACGGAAAAAGGCATTTTCCACTTGTTCCTTCCACATGATTGTGGTCATAATGTACTACGGGCCGTTTATTTTTACATACATGAGACCTAAAGCATACCACACTCCAGGCCAGGACAAGTTCCTGGCAATATTCTATACCATCCTCACACCCACACTGAACCCTGTAATCTACAGCTTTAGGAATAAAGATGTTCTGGGGGCAATGAAAAATATGCTCAAAAGTAACCTTCTGCATAAAAAAAATGGATAGGAAAAATGCTTGAATTATGTGTTCTATTTCTATATGCAATACCTAGAGGATGTTTATTATTAGTTTTTCCAGAAAGCTAATCAAAGCTTCTACCTTGCCACACATGTGGAAAGATGTGACTATTTTGAAAGCTTTGTTAATAATAAAGTCATCACATGTTGATTTTGTAAACGTGTACCTCTGAAACTGTATTAGTCCTTCTGTGATATCAATTATAATCAGCCAACACACTTGAGGACGTAAAAGATGACCCAAGCCTTCCTACTTCATCCCACTAATATTGTAAGAATTTATAGGAATATTTTATAAAATACAATCACATATCCATTATATAAGAAACCTGAATCTATATGATGTCTGTATTTCTATAAAGCCTTATAAAATTATATTGCTAACAATCATTTATCAAAAATCCATAATCTTAAAATGTTTATTACTCTTTGGTTTGTTTTGACACATTTGTTTAGTAAAGTAAGTAATTACACACACACACGTATATACGTGTGTACACTGTGGTAAAGTTGAATTATACTATGCTAGAGGCAGTTATACAATATTAGGTAAGAATGTCATGAAAATCGTCTTATTTCATATATACATGTATATATATACATGTATAAGAAAATATTTCTATTGAGCATGCAATTAAATAATTTTATTAATAGCAAAAACTAGAATACCAGATTTTATTGAGTTTAATACTCAAGTTAATTTTATTATAGCATGTTACTTATTTTACATTAAATAAATATCATTAAATACTTAAACATAAATATGAAGATATTATAGGAAGATTTTTCATGAGTGAAAAGTCATTACTTTGCCTTTCACAATTGGAAATTTTAAAACAATAAGAGTAAATGTTAACAAAGTTTTGGTAAATTTGAAGTCATTACATACTGTAGGTGGACATGAAATATGGTACACAAATAAAAAAAAATTGTGGCAATATATATGAAGCACCTTGAATAGATTATTAAATTATCTTATAATGATACTTCTTAATATCAATGATTTAGACACAAAATAAGCAATTATATGTTAATAAAAACTTTCTTTCCTCACAGTGGTGATTTTCTTACTTGCTTATATCCCTGTAATATTCTTCTATAATCTGGTGTGCTAGAGTTTTATTTCAGTAGAGACTAAGGAGAAAATTTACTGACATAACAATATATGTAAATATATTGCCAAGAGAAATTCAAAATTGACTGGAAATGTTAATGTTACTCTTAGATGCATCATTTGTTTTACATATATTAAAATATGCCTTTACAACTCATAATGATACTTAATGTGGACCCAGGAGCATCATGAAATCTGTGAGTAGTGAAAGTCTGGATATCAAAGCATTATTATTATAAGCAAGAAAAAGTCAGTACCCAGCTGAACAGATCTGAGGACAATATGTAAATTTAGAGGTCAAAATTCAGAGATTTATGAATTTCTAGATTAATATACAAAAATGAAAATACTATGCAGTAGGGATAAAACCATGCATTTATATAATGTCTGTGTTTTTATGAAACCTGGTAAAATTATATTTCAAACCCCATAATCAATCACTTATCAAAAATTTACAAACTCCATGTATAATCACCATTATTCATGGAATGGTTGGTTTTGACACCTTTGTTTTCTCAAGTGAAAGATAAACATACATAATATATAGGAATACCTCTAAAATATTTAACAAAATATGAAGATACTATAGCAAGCTTTAGTGGGCAAAAGTCACTACTTTGTCTTCCACAGTTGGAGATTTAAAACAATAACAATAATTGTTATCAAAGTTTTGGGTTGAATTTGACATCATAATATACATTAGATATACTTGTTAGTAGGATTAATTATAACACCTAATAATCAATAATTGAGTGTAATATGTGTATGTATATACAACATGAATTTTAAGACTTAAAAGATTTAATCTACTTAAATAAGCAGGCTTCTTTTAGATTCTGAATTTTAAATATACATATATGGCAATAAAAATTTGAACAGAATAATTTATGATATTAAATAATGAGAAGTAATTGTTTTAGATTTGATAATGGTATGATAATTATGTTTTAAAAGCCCCATATAGTTAAAGATATATACTGAAGGATTTATAGATGTAAGAAAGTCATGTATGGGATTTGCTTTAAAATGTACAGTGGGTGGAGATTTGTGAAAATATGCAGCACAATATTTGCCCTGTGTGGATAAGTTTTGAAGCTATGTGATAGGTGCATTAAGGTTGATCATGATACCCGCCCCTACTTCTTATTCTAATATAATACCTTACGAGGAATTTACAAAATCTGGCATTTGGATCAGAATTACACTATTTTCACAGAGTACATGGGCATGCATTAAAATCTTTGTTATAATATTTCTTGTCATGAGGAAACATGATATATTTTTTTACCTTTTTTTAAATGAAGCTCGGGGAAAATTTTTCTTTATATACATGTTGCAAGTTTCTTGATGAATTTATATTCCTGAAATATAACAATTTTGCCACATTAGTGATATTCTAAGAATAGAACTTCTAACTCTTTAGGGTCATTAATTATTCTACATTATTTATGTGTCTACTATATTTTTTGAATGCTCTTGGGATTTCCCAATGGATTCTCATGGTGTTCCATGTTAATTGTATCATATACAAATATCATTAATTGTTGGCTTGTTTTCTAGAAGCTAGTATCTTTTGGGCTCTGTTCCTGTTTACTTTGATTGCATGGCTACTGCTTCCAGGGAAATGTTGAGTTAAATTCTTGTTATTTGCCATTCCATGTCCTGATTGTAATATTTATAGGAAATATTAGATAGAGTGTTTTATTTTTCATTGACTATAGCTATGAGTTTATCATAGTATGGACTGTTTTTTTCTTTCCTGGACTAGAAAGGAGTTTGTGGTTTTTTTTTTTTTTTGAGTGTTGGTATTTTTTAAATGTTCTTTGGGAATTTCTATGTACTATTAATATAAATTTTTGCCCACACTCCAATTTGGTGTGGTATTGCAGTTTTGTTTTGTTTTGTTTTAATTTAGAATTATCATCAACTTCTCTACTTCACTAATATCTAACATCTACATTGAAAGAACATCAGTTTTCCTGGTGTCAGGAATGGGAAAGATTGGGAAGGAGCACAACGACAACTTTTTGGGATAATAGAAATATTTCATATCTTGATTGTGGTGGTGATTACCTGAGTATATAAATGTGTCAAAATTCATTGAAATATAGGCTTACATGGATTTAGTTATATAAACTATACCTCAATAAAGTTGACTTTTAAAAAACATATCCTTGAAATAGAATCAAATTTTATGTCAGTTTTATTTATTATTCTTTTACCCATGCTTAGTTAATATGTCTGATTACTCTGAAAATATTATGAAAAGAAAAAATTATATGTGAAAACAATTACTGAGACCAGATGGTTTTCTGCTCTTTTAAGAGTTAGACAATATTAATGATATTGCTTTATGTGTCTATAAAGAGCCTCATCTCTGGGTACATTGTATTATTATGTACCTATAAAATACCACTTCATAGCAACAGCTGTATCTGGCAAATCTCTTTTTATGTTGCTTAACTGATAATTCTGACATACAGACTCTGTTATACATTCTCCAATTCTAAAATGGAAGAGGCTTTCGCTCATCAACTACAGCCCCAAAGCTGCGTGCCAGTTCAGGAATTCACTATCTGGATCAACATCAACCCTGCATTCCCCAAGAGGAAGCCTGTAACTCTGAGCAGCTGGAGACATGCCCCTGAAAAGAATGTCCCTGTCCCTGCTTCTTTTTAGGGGAGAGAGAAAGAGAAAGTCGGACTGCCAGATGGCTACAACTCATTACTGCCTGGCAGTATTCAGGGTGAAGTGAGAGTAATTTGATCGGCAATCAGGAGAAATGAATGGCAAGGGGAGATGTGTGTTGATGCTATTTTAGCGCAAGTCAAATGAAACCAGGAGAACTGACGACATGCATTCATCTCCCTGTTGCCTCCAGTAGCCATGCAAGCTCCACCTTTCTTTATACAATTAACTGTTATTTTCCTGTTATTACCTTGACAAAAATGTTAGCAATGACCTGGTAAGTTACTCCTAGTGATTAACACAGATTTGCACATTACCCTTACTCTGCTAAGGAGAGAACGTATCCTATACTGCAGCCAAGAATCTCCAAAGTGTAGCCTTTGACAGAAGCAGGGCTTGTGCAAGACAGCAGGCAGATTTGTCAGCCACCTGCACACGCTCAGGCTTAAATGGGTGCAGCAGATTTACTCTTCGGATATTGCGGAATTCACACGAACTTTTTTTTCTAAAGGGAAATAGAAGTAAAATTATGCTTTGTTTTTTTTTAAATTTGGTTTATATTTCAACGATCAACTATAACTCTGTGAAATGGAATCATATTGGGTTATATTCTCTGTGATGTGATTTAGGAGTAGTAATAAATTGTAGAAAAAGACTGACCCTCAAGTAAAAAATAAAATATTAAATCAATCTATGGTAACTGGATTCAATTTAATTCCTGTTCAGTTGAAGCTCCTCTCTGACATGTTCCATGGAGTCTCTAGCATTACTTTTACCTCCCTTTTAATATTGAATAAGGCAAGTTTTGCTAAATGCCTCTCTGGTGAGGGCCTACCATAACAAACTAGAAATGCCTTCCAGGAAGAAACTCCAAATACTCAGAGAGGCCTGGAAGAGGTTGGCCTCCTACAGGAATTAAGTGGAAAGCCTAGATTAGAGAGCAGCTGCAAGGACACGACTTTTCTCAGGCTTTGTTCTTCTGGAAAATTTCTATTCTTACTCAGCAGCAGGTCCAAGTTTTGAGTAATGAAACTTATACATTTTGGCGGGTCCTATTTGAGAGAAACGAGTACAAAACTGCAAAAACAAAGCCCTGTCTGAAAGTATTTGCTTAGACTGAGAAAAGAAATAACAACAAATTAAAAATTTTTAAAAGCTAACAAATCAAAAAAATGTTTTATATTCTG